GCTCTCCTCTCTCTCTCCCTCTCTCACCCTCTGTTTCCCTCTCTCCCTCTCTCTCCCTCTCCCTCACTCTCTCTCTTCTCCCTCTATCCCTCTCCCCTTTCTCTCTCTCTCTCTCTTTCTCTCTCTCTCTCTCTCCCCACTCCTCTCCTCTCCCTCTCCCATGTTACTGCCAACACTTAGAAACATGATCACGGTTCATCACTGAAACAGCGCTTAAAAATAAGCCTCACTAAAGTGGAGAGCTATTAAAGCCTTTCTATTCACATGGATCTAATAATAGTGTAATTGGTGGGGGATTTGTTTTGTGTGATGTTTGTGAGTGTGTGTGCAGCTGGATTGGATTCACACACACATACACACACTCCTCTTTGAGTATTTATCCCCCCTCATCCCCCTCCCTCTCTCAAACCTGCCCTTACTGACGCCGCATTCTGATTGGAGGAGCTCGTGCTGCGTCCACAAGAGCTTCTAGAAGGCTCTAAGTCAGGAGGCAGAACAGAATCAGGCCAACATTAAAGCAGCAGTTCAGTGAAAAATCAGATTCCCCCAGTTTTACTCCTTACCCCACCTCACCTCCACCACGTCAGATTATTAATTAATCTAAACAAATGCAAATCTGATGATTTAGCTGGGCATTTGGCACCTGGCTAATTGGTGTATATGAGCTTCCATTACTTCATTTTTTTGCCACTGTTACTTTAAGGGACCTGTCTGCTTCCTGTAACTCATCCATAACCAGGAGGAACAATGGGTCCACTGAGACAGACAGAATGCAGAGAGAGAGAGAGAGAAGAATGAGAGAGAACAGGGATGAGAGACAGAAAGGAGAGAAAGACAGTAGAGATGAGTGAGGAGGAAGATGGAGATGATAGGGAGAGTGAGAGATGAGGAAAAGAGAGAGAGAGAGATATGGTAAGAGAGAGAAAGAGCAATAGGAGGGAGAGAAATGGGAGGAATGAGAGAGAAGGAGAGAAGAGCCAGAGGAAGAGACAGACTGAGCAAGAGAGGGGAGAAATAGAAAGAGAAGGAATGAGAGAGAAGACCGAAAGAGATAAGAGCAAGAAAACAGAGATACAAGATGAGGGGGGATGTTATGTCCAAGGAAAAGATGGTATAAAAGAGAAAAAGGTGGGAAATGCGAGAGAGAGAGAGAAAGAGAGAGAACTGGCATGAGAGAGAGGAAGGAGAGAAAGACAGTAGAGATGAGCAAGGAGGAAGATGGAGATGATGGGGTGAGCGAGAGAGATGAGGCAAGGAGAGAGAGAGAGAGCAATAGAAGGGAGAGAAACGGGAGGAATGAGAGAGAAGGAGAGAAGAGCAAGAGGAAAGGGACAGACTGAACGAGAGAGAGAGGAGGGAAATAGATAGAGAGACAGAGAGATGAGAAAAATAGAAAGAGAAGAAAGAGAGAGAGGACAGAGATAAGAGCAAGAAAAGAGAGATACAAGATGGGGGGAGAGAGAGAGAGATGATATGTCCAAGGAAAAGATGGGAGAGAGAGAGAGAGAGAGAGAGAGAGAGAGAGAGATGCTCGTCCTCCCTGTGCAGGCTGAGCTGGAGTTAATCAGGTTCTGCGTCACGGCCGCTGGCTCGTACAGAGACTGTGCAGGGCGCGCTCCGTATCAAAGGGAAAGGGGCTGTAACTGGTGGTGGTGTGGGGGTGGGGGGGTTATGAATGCATGTTTGTCTTTGTATTTATGTGCTTGTGGGGACCAAATACATCCTTTTTTACAACAACGGTTTAGTTTTGAAAAAATAAGGGCCGTTTACTTCCAGAGGTTAAGAATAGACATTACATTATTCAGCTATAACATTGCATAAGTGGAAATACCCTACAAGAATTTATGCACAAGCTATGTGAGTTCATGTTCGTGCGGAATCCATAACATCCATCTGCTGGTGACCGCTCCAGAGAGGGCCTCTGTGCTCTTATATAACTTGTCCACTCATCATCTCTCAGCCAATAGGGACGCTCCGTTGGCTCGTGGTTGAAACGGCAGGCTGTGTTGGTGTGGCATATATGGTGCCCTGCAAAGGGCTGTGTTAAGCTATTGTGTACTGTGATAGGTGCATATATAGTGCAGGCGGTGTTGGGTTAGTTCAGGTTGTGTTTGTGCAGACTGCATTAGGTTTGTGCAGACTGTGTTATTTTAGAGAATACTGTTTGGTTTGTTCAGACTGCTATTTTAGTACAGACTGTTATGTTTGTGCAGAGTTTGTTAGGTTAGTGCAGACTGTGTTATTTTAGCTCAGACGGTATTTGTGCAAACTGAGGTTTGTGTGGACCCTTTATTTTGGTGCAAACTGTGTTTATGCAGAGTTTCTTAGGTCAGACTGTGTTGGTGCAGACTGTGTTTGGTTTGTTCAGACTGCTATTTTAGTGCAGCCTGTGTTATTTTAGTGCAGCCTGGGTTATTTTAGTGCAGACTGGGTTATTTTAGTGCAGACTGTGTTAGGTTTGTGCAGACTTATTTTGGTGCAGATTGTGTTTGTTCAGACTGCTATTTTAGTGCAGACTGTCATTTTAGTGCAGACTGTTAGGTTTGTGTGGACTGTTATTTTGGTGCAAACTGTTTACGCAGAGTTTGTTAGGTTTGTGCAGACGGCTTTAGGTTTGTGCAGACTGTGTTATTTTAGTGCAGACCATGTTAGGTTAGTGCAGACTGTTATTTTAGTGCAGACTGTGTTAGGTTAGTGCAGACTGTTATTTTAGTGCAGACTGTGTTAGGTTTGTGCAGACTGTGTTAGGTTAGTGCAGACTGTTATTTTGGTGCAGACTGTGTTAGGTTAGTGCAGACTGTTATTTTGGTGCAGACTGTGTTAGGTTTGTGCAGACTGCTATTTTAGTGCAGACTGTGTTAGGTTAGTGCAGACTGTTATTTTAGTGCAGACTGTGTTAGGTTAGTGCAGACTGTTATTTTAGTGCAGACTGAATTTGTGCAAACTGTGAGGTTTGTGCGGACTGTTATTTTGGTGCAAACTGTGTTTATGCAGAGTTTGATAGGTTTGTGCAGACTGTGTTATTTTAGTGCAGACCATGTTAGGTTTGTGCAGACTGTGTTATTTTAGTGCAGACCATGTTAGGTTTGTGCGGACTGTGCAGAGTTGGTTAGGTTAGTGCAGGCTGTTATTTTTGGTGTTTGTGCAGACTGTGTTAGGTTTCTGCGGACTGTGCGGTTCATGCCAATTGTGTTATTTCAGTGCAGACCGTGTGAGGTTTGTGCGGACTGTGTTGAGTTAGTGCAGGCTATGATTGTGCAGACTGTGCTAGATTAATGCAGACTGTGTTGGGGCTCGTAGTGCTCTTCACTTCTGTACTAGTGCACCAGCAGAGAGTTCCCATCACTGCTGCACACAGTTTAACTGATCCTGTTTAAATGTGTTATGTCTCTCCATGTGAAGCCCATCCTCATCTTTTTCTTTTCTTTTCTTTTTTTCCATACACTTTTCATACCCACTCTGAGACAGCAAACATTTCTCTTTAACCCCTTAAACACCTTGTTTTATGCTCTTTCCATTAGTTTCCAGTCTTCTTTTATTTAATACTTTGTTCATGTGTATCTTTATGCCTTTTTAAGGTTTTGTGTACTCTTACGTTCTCTTTTCTCTACTCTTACTATTTTGTGCAATGATCTTGGATCTGTGAAATATGTTGTATAAACAAAAACTACTACTATTATTATTATTATTATTATTATTAATAATCAATTTTAGCCCTATTTGCAGTTTGTCAGTCTTAAGATTTGTTTCTGATTAATCAGCTTCTGATTCAAAATATATATTAAGGAGTGATTTAGCTGAAAATGTGTACGTTTCTGAAAATAGAACGTGGACTGAAGGTTAGTGTAGTGGTGCCGTGTTGACCCTCCAGGGCAGAGGACTGTTCTTCCTCCCAGCCGGAGGAGCGTGACCCCCGATATGAGTTTGGATGTTATGTAACGTGTGGTACTCATTCACCCTTCTGCAGCTTACGCTACCAGAGCCTCAGGGTTTAACTAGCTCACATTCAGCGCTGTGGCGGCTGAGTTATGACCTTTACTGGCCCTTACCCATTACCCTGATGCTGTGTTAACATTATGACAGTAGACGAGCGACGCAGACCGGATGTTCTGTATGTTTCAGCAGAGTCGTGATGGATGCAGCAACTTAATGAAGCTGCTGAGATCATTACATCTCTGCCTTGAAACCGAAGGAGCCCCTGATAAAACCTTTAGTTTGTATATAATATTTCATCCCATCATTTCATCCCCATCAGCACCAAGACCTTTCAGTGTTTTTCACTGAGAGGGGAATTTCAGAGATTTTTCAAAATTTCTGCATAGTTAAATGATGATGATGTAAACAGTCATTCAGAGTAGTTTGATGTGAAATGCTCTGTTATAGAGAAACCTACCGAGTCCATCTTTCTCTGTTCAGTTTTTCTCTTTCGTTCTTTCTCTCTCTCATTCTTTCTCTCTTCTCCCTCTGTCTCCTTTCTCTCTATGTCTCCTTTCTCTTTCTCTCCTTTTTTTCTCTCTTTCTCTGTCTCTCCATTCTTTTTCTTTCCTTTTTTCTTTCTTCCCCCCTTTCTTTCTTTCTTTATTTGTCTTTTTCTTTCTTTCTCTCATGCACTCTGTTTTTTCTATTTCTCTCTGCACTTTCTTTCTTTCTCTCTCTCTCTCTCTCTTCACACTCTCTTATCCCCTCTGTCTTCCCTCTTTCATTTCTTTTTTTCCTCTTGCCTTTCACTCTCTGTTTTTCTTTTTCTCAATCTCTCTCTGTCATCTTTTTTCTGTTATCTCTCTTGATTTTGTCTGCTTCTCTCTCTCTCTCTCTCTCATGCGTCAGTTTATCCCATCAGTACATTTCTAAATGTAAGACGTCACAGTTTTAAAGTAATAAATAATAAGAAAGTAGGAATAGCTATTTGGAGTGATGATGGAATGATATTTAGGAAAGAAAAAAAATGATATCAAAGTGTTTACCTTTTCCTTACCCCACTCTCGTTTATTCTCCCACAGTGCCAGACTCTGCCAAGCCCAGCCCTGCCCCTCTTCCCCCTGCCAACCCCAGCGCCACCAACCCATCTGTGCCCTCAGCCAGCAGCAGCAGCGGAGTTGGTGGTGGAAATGGAAAGCGCGCCCCCTCCAGCACCCCGCAGCAGCAGCAGCAGCCGGCAGCGCTCCGTTACCCTCCCCGCGAGGTGCCCCCACGTTTTCGTCAGCACGAGCAAAAGCAGCTGCTGAAGAGAGGTCAGCCCCTGCCCGCCGGGAGCACCGCCGTGGTACAGCCATCCACGGCCAGCCCTGCAACACAGCCTTTCTCCAGCCAAACACACTCAGGTCAGCCGCAGTTCTGGTTGTCATACGTGCTGATGTGAAATGTAACAATACAGATTTTCAGTTTTTGATTCTGAGTTAAAGATTTAATTTGATTTTCGATAACAAAATTGAAATCACAACCCCTAGAATTTGCAAGTTCAGAGCAAAAGCCCCGTCTTTTGAGTGCATAGCGTAAGTCCCGCTCTTACTCCGATAGGCTGCGCACAGATGCCTAGTTGTGATCTTTGATGTTTTGGTGGTGCAGTTTTCCTCATTTTTGCTCATGCTTGTTTTTACAATGCTGTATTGAAATTATGCCCTTTGTGCTGAGAACCGGACTGTAAACAAATCACCGGCTCTTGACCAACTGCTATAGTTCTACTGCTGTTGAGGATTTAAGCAGTGCCCGTACCTCCTGCTGTAGTTGACCTCTGGTCACACATTCTGACTGATTATGAAACACATGAAATGTAGGGTCGATATCGCTTCTGTTGATCCATTGACTTTGTTTACATGGACTTAATAATGTGATAACTGCAGAAAATCAGATTTAGCTACCAATTTGTTCAATGCATTTACATGCACTTTGGTGATCAGATAATGGGAAAACTCCGGGTCGACATGAGTCAGGCAGTAATCAGATTTCTGCCTTGCCACCCACCAATACGTTCACAGAAGAAGAAGGACGCAATGTAAAATTCAGGGTTCTTGATACGGTTTTGTTTAAACATGGTGTCTTTCTATAGGCAAAGATGAATAATCGTCATGTAGAAGATGAAGAGTATTTAAATTTTACCTCTTGTCATGCATGTAGTTGGTTTCAGCATCGCCTCAAAAGTGTTTTGCTGCCTATTTGCAGGTGTTAAATGCTGCTTTCTGTTTCCGGGACAGTTCTACCCTCAGTCTGCTTATGTTTGTACAGACATATAAACACGGAAAGGGTAAACGTGCTAAAAAAACAGTACTGAGCCTAAATGTAGGTCTCCGCAGCCTTAATCTGATCTGAAAAATCTGTATGTTGTTTACATGACCACTTGAATAATCAGATGGTCCTAACTGCTGAGCATATCATTGGTGTGCACGGAAGTGCACTCATTTATAAAGTGCTCTGTAATGCTTTATAATGTTCATATGATCCACACAGTCGTTCTGACAGATTGCAATACACTACAGGAAGTGTAGGGGGCGACATAACTCCTGTTGTTTCATTTAAAAGATGCCCTGTATGTCCAAAGTGTGGGACATACTTTCACAACAGCACAGCAGTGATGAATAGCTTCTGTCCACAAACTGCTTGTTGCAGAAATTTGGGTTGGACTTTGGGTTCCAACATACTTTTTCAAATCCATTAATGGTGGAGAGACACATGTAAGGTGTTACAGGGCAAAATAGCCTCCAGTGAAAACTGTTTTACCATTCTCAACATTACATTGTGACCCCTGGTTCCTAACACCACCCTGTAAAGAAATCTTGAGTCTGTAAGTTATTCACCACTCTTAATGACTTTGTTTACATCTCAGTGATTGTATTATGCGTACATTTTTTAAAACTCGGTGGAATTCCCCTTTAAGCTTTTTCAAGGACTTGTCTTATGGACAATGTTTGTCTTGTCTTATGTACGTGGTTTTCTTCCGACAGCAGCGATAAAATAAAAGAGAAAATAATTCAGTCCTCTATTTTTTCTTCAGATATGAGAGAGAGAGATTTTAAACTACTCGATTTAAATGGTCTTACTTTCTCTGTTGTTTTACAACCATCCTGTCACTGAACCTCAATCCTCAGTCAAAGTATGTTACTTAGCTAACCTAGATACTTCTCAGCTAAATTGGGGAGCATGCAGCAGGTAACAGTGGAATAAATACCTTAGTTCTTTGCAACAGCTCCCTAAAAGTTGCAATACATTTTATACCTAATCATGTCAGCGTTGGCCCTCGGATTGACTCATTTCTGACCTGTATCTGGAGCTTGGTCAACTCGTGGCGGCTTAAAGCACTTTCTGACTGACTAGCTTAGCTGCTGCTGCTGAAGTCAAGCCCTCAGGTCTAATGATGTAAACTTATTCACTGTTTGTACCCACGTTCTTCGATAGACTCCTCTACTGGGAAACATACACGTTTAAGGTATATGCTACAGTTATCACTCTTGGCGTGTTCACTCTCCTGTTTGGTGTTCATTGTCCACACATTTCGTTTCTGCCTGCGCATGTGTGGTTTGCTGCTTTACGCACTACAAATGCAAGTTATCTTTGCTGTAATTTTGCAGGCCGAGCAAATGAAACAAAGAGAAGCGTCCTGTGCTGAGCTGTGTCTGGTTGCTTCCTGTCTTGGGAGGCACGTGTGAGCATATGCTAAAGTCTATTTGTTTGTGGGCTTTGGCAGCCTAGTGCAGCGTTTCTGCAGAAAGCAAGAACATGGCAGTGTCCCAGCTTAGCGGGCTGGGTGACTCACAGCTTACGGTAAGTAAGCGAGATTCAGATGGAGACTCCTGATCGGCAGGACCCGTCAAAGCTCTGATCCAAAACGATGTGGTCACTTGATTGGTCCCTGGGTTGCCTCTGCAGAAAGTGGCTGCTACAAATAGTTGTCAAACTATGTAATTAAAGATGCCATCAGTGGAAAATTGGTTGATATTGATATGTATTGTTGATGTGTCTTTTACTTAAATATAGCAATGAGAGAAGCATTCTATAATGCTCAGTAATGCTCACATGATCTATATGGCCATTCTGACAGATTGTAATACACTACAGGAAGTGTAGGGGGCGACGTGTCTTCTATTGTTTTATTTAAAAAGTACTGTGTAATTCTCGGTAATCTTCATATGATCAACATGGTCATTCTGACAGATCGTAATACACTACAGGAAGTGTAGAGGGCAATATATGTGTATATATAAGCGGCAAAAACTTTTTAGATTAATTTTACATGAACATTTTGCATTGTGATGTCACAAAAACTATTAATTTACAATTTATAATAATTTACAAATATTTGTTTATTCTGCCGACGGCTGTTTAGTCACACCTGGTCATGCTGAAGTCAGGCAGTGTGTTTCAGCCCAGATTGCTTTTTGAAAGAGGCGGTCAGAACAGTGATAAATCACTTATATCCGTCTCAAAGACACAGTAACAAAAACAGCCAGTTTAATTCTAAAGGATGAAGAGAAGCTGGACAATGAATTCTGTTTTTGGTGCATAAAACAACACAAAGATAATATGTTCACCTCACGGAAAAAATGTACGATATGGGCCCTTTAAAATGAAAGCAACCATCTTGCAATGCGTCTCCTAGTAGTTTGATCTAAATAGCTGATGGGTTAACAGATTGTAGAAATAACCATCACTTCCAGCCAGTCTTTCCAAAAGGCACAAACTGAGGGTTTGATACCTGATCGGTTCTGTACAGAGCTCGTAAACAACATGATCTCTTTTCATTCCTGTGCTCATTATCCACCTCTTCACCTCACCGCGACAAGGCCACAGCTCTTCTGAAGTGAAGCTGGCATGCTCAAGAAGAGAAAGCGAAAGAGCATTCCTGCACTGGCTTTTATTTCCTCCATGACATATCAAACATGCTGCGAATATTTGAAGTTGCCAGCTGTGTGAACATTTCATGATGAATGGACCAGCAGAAATGATCCAAAATTACTTTGGAATTAAATAAAATTTACGCAATTTTCCACTTACCCCAGATGGAGGTGATCAGCCAAGACATGCTCGCTGTCCAGATTCTGCTTCTTAAGTTTTAAACTGGAGCTAAGAGGCTGTTGTTGTTACCAAACACAAGAATAGTCACCCAAATCTTTTCTGTAAACTTTTTCTCAGCACACTCAAACTACATCCAGGTCTTCATTAAGGTCGTCAGCGTGGTTTAGGACGCAGTATGAATTACTGTGAACTGTAAAAATGAACAGAACCGTATTGTGTGGCTGAACGCAGCGAGCAGCCACTTTAGACATCGTGTTGTGCCAAATTCAGACCCCCGAAAAATCCGCTCATACAGACACATGGATGCTAGAATAGATTGGCAATTTCTGTTTGCATACAGTTACGTAATTAGTTTGAAAATTCAAGATTAGCTGCTATTTATACAAAGAAATAACAGTAATCTGCTGTGTCCATACGCCTGCTTGACACGCATGATGTGAAAAGGAGTCGAATTTCGACTTTAGACACCAGCGGCCATATTACAGAAACTTCTTAAGTCTGAAATCTTATCTGTTTAGTCACTATGACAACTTTAGTTAGGACTGAATTTAGGACAGAAGCTATTACAGAACAACAGTTCTTCATAATCTTATCCATTAACTCCAGATAAAAAAAACAGTATTACAGAAAAATCCTAAAAAAGAAAATCCTAAATTCTGTCCTAACTTTAAGACAACCCCAGAGCTGTCTTAACTTCTGTTTTAACTTTCTGTTTCTATTGTTTTATGCAGTGACAGACAGCATAGTTCACTATAACCAGCATAATGACGTTACGTTTATCTACATCGAAAACCTTGACTGTTTTAGACCTGATCTCCACGTCCCCTCTTATTACCTTCATGTGTTAATGTTGACGAAAACTCGTCAGATTAAATATTACAGTGACGGTGGTGAATAATAAGGAGACAGAGCCCAAGTGTGTCTGTTTATTAGGGGAATAACATTAGCGCACTCGGCTAAAGCGTTTGGGGAAACTGAAACTGGAGAGCGGCGACGCTCTGATAAACAGCACAAAGCGCTCTCACAATGTTCTTAACTTTGTTTACCGCTCTTTAGTTTTGTTTGACCTTTTTTGTACATCGGTAACCAGCGCTAGCTGCCTGGCTAACTGGCTTGATCACTCGGATTACATTTCAGCTGTGACCATAAAGTCGGTTGCTAGGTAACACACATGACAGTTGATTGTCGACTTCGATCGAGGGAGTTAAGATTTCTTGAGAAGATGCTGCAAGATAAGATTCCCAGATCAAGACAAGATTTGCTTCTGTAATACAAATTAGTTCTCAGTAATTTATAAAACAAACATCCTCAACAT